CTATTTTTGAGTTAAGTCGAGTTATAAAGTCCGAATTAGGAGATATAAACTTGCATTTGCGGAAAAAAAAAGTCAGAATTGTGAGATAAAGTAAATAAATGTTATGTAAAAATGTTAATAGTAAGGTTTAAATAATATTTCATGCTGTAACTGTAGGGATAATACAATATGTCCCCTATAAACAGCATATGTGAATATTATGTAGACCTATTGTTTAAATCGAATTTATGCTTTAAAAGTAGAGTAATCATAGCAGTTTTCATCCATAGTATGTCCATTTAAACGTCTGCGTTTAGCTTCAAATGGCGTCTTTGACGACAGCATTCTTTAAAAATTATTTGCATTCCGATCTTGACATCAAAAGGCACAAACATTTTTTTTTTCTTTTATTCCATGGATTTTACCCATTTACCTCCACTTGTTCCCAGTGTTTTTCTGCAACCACTATGCGCGCGCAGCTGCAAGTGACGTAACTGTGACGTCTACTCTAAATTGGTCTATTGGACATCACATGTAATTTTACGGTAGTATACCGTTTTTTGAAAGACCGTATACTGACATTCCCAGAATTCCCTGCGTTACATTTAAAATGTGATGTTTTTTTTGTTGAAATAACTGTTTCTTAGTTTTTTTGTGTACATTAGGGTTGTATGTTACACCTAATGTTGTTAAATGAACGTTTATTGCATTATTTCAGTTTCATGTGTGTTACCGTGATGGTGTTTAGTGTTTGTGTGAATGACACTGTGCACCTTCTATATATGTTAGTATTTAAAAGCTGCTTGTGATGGGCTTTGGTTCATCATGTGACTTTCTCATCACCTCCTGCATTTGGTGGTTATCAGTGTATTACAAAGGTACAAAACAGATTTCAGTGCTTCAATAGGTTGGTATATTAACATTATATCAGTTAATGAAATTACGGTATTTAGCTGTAAATTTAAGTTAAAACCGTAAAACCAACAAATGTTGCTATCGTACCTTTTACGGTAAAATTCTGGCAACCACAGCTGCCGGTTTTTTACCATAAATTTTATGGATTTTTTTTACGGTTTGTTTAAATGCAATGACATTTTTTGATGTTAAATTGAATTTGACGCTAAAATACTTAATAGTTTTACTTCCAGAAGTGTTTTTATTATTTTATTTGAAGTCAGTTACCATTAGTTGCAAGTAACAAATAAATCTTAAAAGTTTTTTTATTTTATTAGTATTTAACTTTTAGTTTAATTATACTTAACCATTTTTTATCATTTTTATTAGTTTTTTAAAAATATGTTTACATAGTTTTTATTTAATTTTATATCAGTTTTAGGTTTTCAGTAAATCAAGTTAAACTAAATGAAAGTTCAGAGATGATGCTTTGGCAAGTAGCTGAAATAAAATAAATGTAAGTGTTGTTATTTTATTTCAGTTAACATTTATTATATTTCAAGCAACAGATATGTTAGTTAAATTTTAGTTTTGTTGCACATTTTTGTCATTTATATTAGTTTTTTGTGTCTATATAGTTTTTAATAAGTTTTAGTTTAACTAAATGCAAAAAGAGAAATGCTGCCTTGCCAGCTAGCCAAAATTTAAAATAAAATTACATTTTATACAAATGTAAAAAATAAAATTTTGCTATTTTTAATTATGTTTTGCGTTTTTTTAATGTTTATATCATGTGTATTATTTTTTCAGTTCAGTTTTTTGGTATATCGAGTTAAACTAAGCGTAAATTGAGAAATATTGCCGTGGCAACTATCTAAAATAAACAAACTGAAGTGTTATTTTATTTCAGCTAACATTTATTATATTAAAACTCAAGTAACAAATGTATTTTAGATCAAGTTTTAATAATTTTGTTGTGCATTTGTCTTTTTATTCATTTCTGCTATTTATTTTTTAAATACGTTTACATAGTTTTTATTTAATTAACTCGAGGGTGAGTAAAACATGGACTAGTTTTCATTTTTGGGTGAACTACAGTGGTGGCCAAAATGATCAGGACACTAGTATTTTCAGCAGCTAAAAATGGTTTTAAGTCAGTTATTTTTATCTTTTGCTGTAGTGTTT